GCTTGGTAAACTTTGAATTAAAACCATCCTGAGGTCATGACACAGAAATTGGAGACCATTCTTCGTACCGATTTTATTTTCATACCCAAAGTTTTCGTTTGTCGCCTGTCACAGTGACATGGAGCGATGTGGGGCGGAGTCTTCTGTGTTGCCTACGTGCATTAGATATCGGCAGCAAAGCCAGAGGTGTGGTGTTGGTTATTTGAAGTTCATCTAGAAGTGGAGGGCGTGATAAGAATTTCCAGATGATCCCGATTCTTTCGGCTTCGTGCTAAAGGTAAATGGGATTTCTAAGTAGTAGCATTTCAGACTTTTTATCCTTTCATCTAAAAATGTTGAAAAATCTTGAAATTTTGAAATTTCAAATCTTGAAATTTGAAATGTTGAAAAATCATCTTGAAAAATCTGTGTACAAATTATCTTAAGAAGAAGTTCTGTATGACCAGCTTCGTCTTTTCTGCACTAAAATGTTCTTGAAGTTTTACCAAGGCCAGAAGCTAATGCTCAGATTTACCTGGTAGTTGTTAACTGTAACATAGTTTTGAAATGACAGGACTTCAGATTGCCCACACTTTGTTGTCCACCATGTATGATTTACATACGGCTGACCAATTTAGAAATAGCTTGGTAAAATCTCTACACTCTCCTGATCCAGTGCAGAATTACTACCTGCCGTTTACTTTCTGAAAAAGAGTTTCAAAATCCCACAAATGTGTCTTTAAGCAGACCCTCGGCTCCTTTGAATATTCTCCTCTTGGCCCACTCCCTTTGCCTCCCCTGAATCTGTGCTGCTACGACAGCCCTGCTCTGCGCACCATGCTAGGAAGCTTCCTTTTTGGCAGAATATGTTGGCAGCAAAGCTAGAGAGACAGGTGGATTCAGAAAAGCCTGGGCACCAGTCATGAGTCTTACTGAGTGTCAAAAATCTGAACATACTTGCTGAGAACCAAATTTATTCCATCAGAAAAACCCTCTGTGGAGCTATAAGCCTCTTGGACTCTTCTTCCTAGATCAGGGTTTGCATTTCCCTTCCTGTTATGGTAAAAGATGATGAGAGCCATCATCGATCTGCACAGCTGAGTGGCAGGGCGAAGCAGCACCTCCCCGGCTCTTCTCTGATCGTGTGACTTAGTGTTGGAAGTCGCTCTAGGCTGTTAGCATGGGTGTTCCTTCCCTCGTGGAGCTGTAAGCAGATGAAGCCAAATAGGGAAGCTAGTTCTTGGAAGAAGAAGTCCGTTGAGGCTCCCAGACGTTTGGGGCCAGAAGCCAGATCGGCAAATGGAGGAACCTCGGAGTAGACCAGAAAGATCTCCATTGGTTGCACACGGCTGTAAGTAGGAATGGTCTTAGAGAGCATGCTTTGATCTGGTATGAACTACTGTGGCAGGGCTGCTGGCTTCTGAAGGCGAGAAGCAATTCTTAGTTCAGACCAACCCTTAAAGAGAACTTTTGGCAGATTTTTTGGCCATGTTGAAACACATCTAGAAAAAGCTGCTGGTTGAATTGGCTATGGGAATGGAGTTTAATAACATTTGTAATTTATTACAGTCGTTGCTTTTTATTGATTATAGTATTGTCTGACTTTACTATGAGTCCTTCAACAGAAAAGTAACCCTTGTGCATATATTGAAGTGTTTTTCCTGCTATGAATTCTTTAGGGTAGAGATTTATTTACCAAATGTGAATTCTTTTGAGGAAGTGTGAAGTTTTGTAGAAATCGACTGTGAAATGTCAGAGAAAAATAAAAGTCACTTACTTGAAAACTATCCGGCCTTTTTGCTTTATAACTGCTTAAAAAATACTAAGCGAAATCTAGAGTAAGTACATTTGACCCTTGAATAACATGGGTTTGAACTGACCCGCTTACCCAAGGATTTCTTTTGATAAGTACACGGATTTCTTTCGATAAGCAAATGTCACTTCCTTGTGGTTTTAATAACACTTCCTTCCCTCTAGCTTACTTAATTGTAAGAATACAGTATATAATACATATAACACATAAAATAGGTGTTAATCGACTCTATTACCGGTAAGGCTTCCGGTCAACAGTAGGCTTTTAGTATTTAAGTTTTGGGGGATGCGCGGATTTTCAACTGCAGGGCGGTCGGCACCCCTCAGCCCCATGTTGTTCAAGGCTCAACTGTATTTGATTTAAGTTTCAAACATATGTACTCCTGTCATTTGGGAATGTTGGGATCAGATACTGAACCGGTGTGAACTTAAAAGGAAATGAAGGCGATCTTAATGCATATGAAAGTCCCATGTTACCTGGCATCTTAGAAGTTTATATTGGGTAGGTTGGGAGGAGTAAGAGGAGAATACAGTCCAGTGGTTTCTTTCTTCCTTTTTAATGTTTATTTTGAAGAGAGAGAGTGTGAGTGGGGGTGGAGCAGAGAGCGAGGGAGACACAGAATCTGAAGCAGGCTCCAGGCTCCGAGCTGTCAGCACAGAGCCTGACACGGGGCTGGAACCCACGAACCATGAGATCATGACCTGAGCCGAAGTCGGATGCTTAACCAACTGAGCCACCCAGGCGCCCCTCCTTCTTCTGATCTGACACTTTCACAAATGTCAAAACTACAGTTGCCTGCTGGGATAAACTAAAACCACATGAAATGAAGTTCTTCCTACAACAGAAGTCCTTAGCAAGTACAACTCCAAGCCTCCCTCTGTGCTTCTTAGAGTTCATTCCTAACACTTAGCTCCTCCCTGTTCCCCAAGGCCAGTCAAGCCGTCCCTCCCCAGATTTTTAAGACGCTGCAAAACTACGAGCTTATCCTCATGTAAAGGCCTAGAGGGTTGATGCCAGAGTCTAATTCTTAGAGCATTATTTCTGTCCTACACAATTTTCTAAGTAACTTTATACGGCTATACGACCCTTTAAATGAAATGTCAAGATGGCTAGAGGAGGCCCCTCCTGAAACTGACAGCCATCCTTGCATCTGAGTGGCACTGAGAGAGGCAGACCACACACAGTGGATCTCAGGAGGCTAAGGTAAGTGAGGTTATTTGAGTTTGTGGCCCCGGTCCCTTGGCCTGATTCCTGTACAGGGAAATATCTGTCCACCTAGGACATCTGTTTGGTCCACCTTGTGGATGGCATCACGGTAGACTGTAGCCCAGTGTGATGGGGTCTAAAGACCTGCATGCACCTGTCCCCTCTGTTACTCATCAGCTGGGTGGCTTTGGGTAAGTCACTAAGCCTCTCTAGGTGTCACTCCTCCTGGCTGAATAATAAAGAATTGTAACTGGTTCTCCATGGTTCTTCCCAGCCCTCACCAGTCGAAAGATCTCTAGCTGTGTTATAGGTGAGCCATAAAATTAACAGATTTTTAAAAACCTGGGGTGCCTACAAAGTAGCTCCCTAGTGCTCTGATAAGATGACTTTATAAAGTGTTCCGTCGGATTTTTAACTTCCGTGTGGCTCTAAGAGAAGCATTTTGCTGGTCTGCCTTGGTTTTGCCTTTCTTATGATTGCCTGGTTGCAGCTAAAATGGATTCACTACTTCCCATATAAAAGCCTGCTCTCAGAGATTACGAGCCCCATAGCAGAGTTGTTTGGGGTTAAATCAAATCACCGCCTTCCTAGTCAGTCATCTGCAAACGGCTCCTTCCTTTCGTCTCTAATGAAAGATAACTCATATATTTTGGAGGGCATGTCAATTAGCTTTTATTTCAGTACAGATTTCTCTCTCCCCAACCAGGGAAGATGTTTCTGTGAGTGTTATAAGGAGTGTCTGAGGTTGACTTAACATTGTTTTTAAGGTAATAGTCATAGACCATGTAAATGAGGTGGTACTTGATGAGGACTTTATTCTGTTCCCAGCCTCCTGGGTATCACTTGCATCTGCGCAGAAGAGGGGTGGAGATGAGGTCCTCCTGGAGGCAGCCCGATCAGAAGGGCAGGAGGAAGAGGCAGTAGGAAGCATCCTTTATCTCTGCTACCTCAGTTTCCTTTATCATAGGAGGGTGTGATCTTGTGTTCGCTTGGCATCCCAAGATGTTGGTGAGGTGCAAAACAGTGCCGTCTCTAAAGTGTTTTGAGATCGCAACACAGAGCCAGGCAGCCTCCTGCAACTCGGACCCATCAGCAAAATGCAAGTGAGGGCATTACACCCTTACGAGTTGTCATT